ACAACACGAGAACACTTGAGTGTAAGTCAAATGGTCGTCACCATTCGGTCGTGAACAAGGCAAGTGAAAGGAACAATTTAAAGTGTTGTACATTCCTTTTTAATGGGGGACGCAGAGAGGATGAGCGTAGAGGCTGTAATTGACAAACTATGCGCGGGCCACCAATCCATCAGTCAACAAACGTGAGCTCAACGTTGACAACTACCGTCCAGCGTGCAATGCAACTCTTTCCCTCCCGTATACTTTGCCCTTCCAAGTTAACAGTCATCTAATTAAGGCATCCCTCCAAGGGAGGAACTGAACAATAGCCGTGATTGTTGTAATTAAGCTGCGGCTCCTGAGGAATTGACAAACAATAATATCCCCTGGGGGTGGGAGAGAAACTCTCCACACAGTTACATAACTGTGGTCTCAATTCAGACTCAGGCCTGGAATGTTGCACAAAAAACAACCCAGCATTGCTAAACCACAGGTTTCAGGCAGTAGCTGATGTCACCGCTGAAGCTTGCAACCCAATCCATCGTGGTCAAATGTCTAGTCTCTGATTTAATCATTGAGAATCGATGTCCCTTTAAAACATAACTTGTTCTAAGGGAGCTGTCCAGCCTCCTTACCACCCCTACGTTGCAATGCTGTGAGTCTAAGGAATATGAAAAATAAGAATAGTGTTAACCGTTTATGGCAATAAAACAGGTGTTATGATTTTTAAACACCAAATAGATACGCTTTGCAAAGAATCAAGTCTGCATCAACCACACGTACTTGTGGTGAACATGCAAACAAACATGCTCTGATAATGCTCTGATAATATGGTATTGTCTTTGAAACTGTTTGGCCTACACCAGAGACAACCTTCTTCGTGGTCGAGTCTCACCAGTGTCAGACCAGAGAAGGCCAAATGGCGAACAGCATAACGACATTGCATGTATCAGAGAATGTGACCAGCTTTGTCATGGGATAGCTTTTTGCGAGTATCAAGAAAGGTCCCAGTCTAAGTAATGTGCTTTTGTTTCTCACCGAACAGCACGGGGTAGGGGGGGAGGAGATTCCATGGGCCAAATGAAGTTAGAAATGTTTAACTTGATTTAAGTAACCAATACCTACACCCACATATGTTTAAATAATTTAATTCTTTTTTTAAACTTAGAATTGGCCAGCGTACAAACTCTACAAACGCCAAGATGCCCTGCCAGTTTTTTTTTTCCCAGACAGACTGACTTACTCGTCCACAACAGGCCAACTCACAGTATAAAAACATCGTTTAAAAGTGTGCGTGGATCACTGTGTATTTGTGTACGTTTGTGCGGGTGTGTTTATATTCCCATTAAAAAGTAACTTGCGGCACCACCGCTATTATCGTACGGAACGCGTGTGGTTGTGTTCAGTGTAAATCGCGCGTATGATCGCGCCCTCTAGCTGATGAGTGTTTGGGTATTGCACGTCTGCAGCAAATATCGAACACAACTTGTACATATTCTTGGGTTTTTTTCGGTAAAGTCACGTCGGTAAAAAAATTTAATTTAAATTAATAAAAGTAAAATAAAAATCACGATGTTTCGGAGGCAACACAAGCTTCCGTCTTCAGGTGGAACCGTCACAGCACTTGATACAGCTATCGTGCTGTGACGGTTCCACCTGAAGACGGAAGCTTGTGTTGCCTCCGAAACGTCGTGATTTTTATTTTACTTTTATTAATTTAAATTTTTTACCTACGTGACTTTACCGAAAAAACCCCTAAGAAAACAACTTTTACAGAGCGGTTCCGGATACCTTTTCACCCCCAATTAATTGAACCCTAACATTTGTCTATTTCTTTGAATATTAATTTCTGTTTGAAACAAACCTTACTTTAAAAAAACTAAAATTCGACGTTTTAGAGAATCGAATGGGGGGAGGGAGGGGTCACAAGACATCCGGGCCACTTTGTGCAATCGCAGCGTGAACACAGCTGGGTCGTGGTTCGCTTCGGACGGGCAACACGTGACTCACAGCTCGGAACCACGTGGGGTACTGTGACGTCGATACGCGTGCACGAGGTTGCTCCGACATTTGACATTAAAATGTCGAACCGTCCTGAATGATAAGATAATGCGAATCACGCGTGCATCTTCTTTAACACAATTAAAGCGATCAAAGCTGAAATGGTAAATATTTGATGACTTTGCGAACATTATTTTGCGGTGTGTTAAACGATGCAAGATTCACAACGCATGGTACTTCTGTGTAGTAGTGAGCGAGGGTAGAGGAGCGCTCTATCTGCGAGCCGAGTCATGCCCCAGTGTGTTCACGTTACAAGTCGGTGATATATTGGTCAGATCCCCTTCAGTAAATAGTTTAAACGTGTGCAGAGAGCCGGGCCTACGCTCTGGCTTAGTTAATCAGGCACATTGCTGGACCTTAGAAAATCGCTCCCGCTACTCCAGCCAATCAGCTGCCAGGGAAACAACCCCCATGCAAGAGGCAACTGTGACGACATGGCTCCATACGTTCAGCCATTCTGTGGCTGAAATAAGTTGCATTTTGTTAATATTTTTTTTATAATGCCAATGTGATTGTGTGTATATATTAGTGCGAGTATGTAATTTCTCAAGTGTCTTTGCGTGATAATGTCTTTATATGAGCCGGTCTTGGGACTTCCCGTAGGTCGACTCAGCCTCAAATGAGTACCTGGTGCGTTGTCTAAGCATCGCTACTGGGGAGACAAAGGCGGTCGGGCGTAGTGCTGACCACTCACCCCCTCGTGTACCTTCTTATGTGCTCGCTGACGGCACTTGCCCTCACAGGCTGTCCAAGGCTATACGGGGGATTTGTGACACACTGATTGTAACAGCTACTGGGGTTTCTCCCTCCTCAGCATGCCGGGAAAGGACCTGCCAAGGATGAATTATTCAACATCGCCTTGTCAGCCAACCTGAGAAAAGGCTTGTGGTCCTGCGCAGGCAGATTGAAAGCTAATTTCTTTAGAACTGCTTTTTGTGTTTAGTTTGTTGACCTTCCGATTTGGACGATTGGCTTCGTACGGTGTGAAAGAAGTTCAACATAACTGTACATACATCCCCATCTCGATCTGTGCTCCCCACTATGCCGCACCACGCACACACACAGACACACACACACAGACACACACACAGTGACTGTAACCTCTGTATGCACGCGTGTTTGTGCGTAGGAATACGAAATAGGTTACAAACTTACTTGTATGTATATGTCACGCGCATTTCTTATTACTGCACTGGAATTGTTTTTAAAATGATACTGGGTGTCAAACATTGTTGGCAAGAGCACTCCGCCTAAACGACGAGTCCCTGTAAAAATAATAAAACTAAATTGTATACTAATCTCATTGCTATTGTGGGCGAAATGCAAATACAATTCTGCCCGTGTCTTTGACGGTTAATTTGAGCCACCTCCGATTAGCAAGGTTGGCTACGTATCGTGCAACATACATACAGACAAAGATCCCCCGTATAGCCTTAACATACTATATGGGCAAGTGCTATTAGGGAGCACCTATAAAGACAGGCACAGTACACGAGGGGGTGGGTGCCCAACACCACGCCCGGCCGCCTTTGTCTCCCAAGTGGCGATGTTTACACATCGCACCAGGTAATTATTTGAAGCTGCGTCGACCTAGGGGAGGCCGAGGACCGGTTCAGAAAATCGCCACTGGTGTTGGCCGTGAGCGGGGAATCGAACCCGGGTTGCCAGGTTCGTAGCGCAGCGCGCTAACCGCTACACTACCGCTCCCCCGACAACAGACACAAACACACACCACACGATCAAGATGCCTATCATTTAAATTATCACTCGACCTCACACGGGGCTACTGTCCTGCAAGAACGAGCAGCGTGCAGCAAGTCTGCACCTGCTAATCGTAATCATCGATCGTATTTTATTGGAACTCCACCGCTCTCTCCTTTGCTGCCCCGTGCTTCCAGTGTTCAGGGGTCTGCTCAAGGCGCGGCTCCGGCTGGAGCACGCCATGTACCACACACATGCCGGTGATGTGCACGTCTTCTTCGAACGCTGGGGAGCCGGACAAGCACCCTCTCTGTACCAGCGTGGACGGCACCCTCGTGGTGTTCACCTTCTGAAGCGCTCGCTCGTCACCGTGGCGTGCGCGATGACCACCACCACCACCACGTGGCTTTTCTTTCGTGTTCTGCGCGCTGCATTTAGCGCCACATCGCGTGGATTTATAGGGCTTATTTGTTTGCTGGTGACTTTGTGTATTTCATATCGGAATCGCCTCCAGTGCTGTTGCTGCTGGCGGCAATACAAGTTGTTTAAAAGTCAAAAGTCTGTCTGTATATGTGTGTGTCTCTCTCTGTCTCACTGTCTCTTTCTGTCTCTCTGTCTCTTTCTTTCTGTCTGTATGTTTATCTCTCTCTGTATGTCTCTCTCTGTCTCTCTCACTCTCTCTGTCAACCACGTGGCTTTTCTTTCGTGTTGTGCGCGCTGCATTTAGCGCCACAGCGCGTGGATTTATAGGGCTTGTTTTATTTGTTGGCTGGTGACTTTGTGTATTTCATATCGGAATCGCCTCCAGTGCTGTTGCTGCTGGCGGCAATAAAAGTTGTTTAAAAGTCAAACGTCTGTATGTGTGTGTCTCTCTCTCTCTTTGTCTCACGGTCTCTGTCTCTCTGTCTCTTTTTGTCTGTCTGTATGTTTATCTGTCTCTGTATGTCTCTCTCTGTCTCTCTCACTCTCTCTGTCAAACCACGTGGCTTTTCTTTCGTGTTGTGCGCGCTGCATTTAGCGCCACAGCGCGTGTATTTATAGGGCTTGTTTTATTTGTTTGCTGGTGACTGTGTGTATTTCATATCGGAATCGCCTCCAGTGATGTTGCTGCTGGTGGCAATAAAAGTTGTTTAAAAGTCAAAGTCTCCTTTGCCGCGTGCGTCTCTCCCGGTCAGCTGCTCGGCGCACAGACTCGGAACCACGTGCGCTTCCGATCAGCTGATCCGCGCGCCGTCAGATTTCATTATTTAACAGCTGAAACACTTCCTACCCCGGGCTCAGTTCCTCGTCCACTCCAGCGGCGTTTGCATTTGTTTAGGCCTACGTGCTACGGTATTGTCGATGAGACTCTTTTAAGCCAACTCCAACCGAACTCCCATTTTGCGAGTGCCGTGTTAAATCGACAGTACGGAATATTTATCGCCCGCCTCGTCTCTATCCCATCATCGCCTCCCTCCCCCCATGTTCCCCGGCTCTCCTTCCGCGGCCTGGCCATGGACCAGGCTGCTCGTCCTGTGCACAGCGTGCCTGCTGGTTCCTTCCGTCGAAGCGGAGCTAGAGGTGTTCGTGGTCCCCCATAGTCATATGGACGTGGGCTGGGTGTACACGGTGCAGGTGAGTTACAAGGATAAAGCTGGGATAGGGTAGCGAGTGGCAAGTGAAGATGTGCGGGCTCGAATCGCGTTCTCGTAACCGTTTGCAAGTATTGAAGTGTGTATGTTGAACTTCTTTCGCGCCGTACGTAGCCGACCGTACGAATCGGAGGCAGGGTAATAGAGGCGAGAGATCGGTCCGCCTTGTGAGAATTAATGACAGTGCTTCTAAGTCGACGAAAGATGAAGACGGCGAAAATCACAGCAAATGCCTGGCTACGATGTGGGCAGCAGAGGGCAGTGCACCTCCGATTAGCACGGATGCCTACGGACGGTGCGAAATAAGTTCACCATACGTACAACAAAAATCATTTGTACCCTGCGGTGCATCTCAGTCCACGCTCCCCGCCTTCACGTAACGCCCACAGATCCAGCGTGGCGAGTGACGGTACCGCAGAGTCAAATAATACCCCGCGCCCACCAACACAAACCACACGGCGTGAAGAACCACTTCATGGGCCATTGAATTGATTTAAGGGCCATGTTGGGCCCTTTCCCAAATGAAATTTCAGCATGAGATTGAATGGTGAACGGATTCATGATATGCCTCAACATACTCGGGTGCAAATTGACCAATAATTAATCAACCCATGCGAATCCATATACGGTACTGGGATTCGTGAATAAATATCATCAACGTATGTTTAATGGATGAAGAAATGTACAAGTTATATTTTCAGCTGAATAGAGTCATTGTAATTGTGCAACTTAAAAAAACCCGTTAATCACAGTGCTGCATATTGATGTTATCGCAACAATCGGAACGCATTTGTTGATAGCATTGCCTTAAAGCAAACATGCGTGCATCACTGGTGTTGGTCGTGAGTGGGAATCGAACTCAGGCCGCACAACCGTGGCCTCTCGTTCTGTATACAGGCTGCTTAAAACAATGTTTAACACTTCTGAGAATTTGCAACAACACCACAACGAGATGTGCTTCCGGGCTCTGGAGACCACCTGGAGAAGATTCCAGGCCACGTGTTGACAATGATGGCGAACACGTGGAGACTGAGAATAGGTTTTCCCCCTTTTATCTGTCAACAAACAGGTGTTAAGTTCTTAAAACACCAAACTAAAACCTTTTACAAGGAATCATGTCTGTTGTAAAAGGTTTCAGTTTGGTGTTGGAACAACTTAACACCTGTTTTGTTACCAGATTAAAAGGGGAAAAACCTATTCTCATATTTTGGTACTGGCAAAGGAGGTCCCATGATGTAAGTGGAGACTCTTTGACTTTTTGAAGCTACTAATATACATTTGTTATCATGTCCCAGTGTATGATCTATTCTTAAATCCTTTATATTAAGTTCACTTGCTTGCTTGCGCGCTTACGACCGTGCAAATTTGTCGGTCGTTTTTTAACCCACTTCCCGTGATCCAATCGTTGTGCGTGACAATTTATTTTTGTGAAAAAATGTTTCCAGAATGTTACACTTGTTAGGAAAAAATAAATTATATTTAATTACCAATTGCTTAATGGTGGCAGGCGATCATCTGACCCATAGGTGGCAGCCATCTCAAGCCAGAGGACGAGAGGACTCTAGCCGCCACGCATATAAAGGATTTATAGTGAAAAACTTTGTTTTTACGGGTTAATTTTTTTTTCCATTAAAAACGATCGTCCCATGTAAGCGCCGCGTGCATCCTGCAGGAGAGCATGCACGCCTACGCAGCCAACGTGTACAGCACGGTGGTGCGGGAGCTGCTCAAGGCACCGGAGCGGCGCTTCATCGCCGTGGAGCAGGAATTCTTCCGCCTCTGGTGGGACGGCGTGGCCTCGGCCGAGCAGAAGCACCAGGTGTGGCCCCCGGAGTGCAACGGCATCGGTGGGCCCAGCTGGGTCTTTCCGCTAGCGTCCTCCACTTTGCGTGGAAACCCGCGGTCTTTCGCTCCGGAGATACAATTTTACGCGTCCAACACAATTGATGCCAACGACTTCAAGAGAAGCTTTTTGTTGCGCTCCACGGGATGATTTTTTTCATGGTCTCTAATTTTTTTGTAGTATCTTTTAAAGCTGTGGAGAGCTATGGGAGATATTGGGCAATCCACAGCCCACCATTGTTGTGGTTCTCTAACTAGCCAGTGGTCTACAAGTGGTGTAGAAACCCACATTTTGTATTCGTCATGCACTCCAGATCCTGAGAATCTCCATCAACTGTAAAAATGTAACATACATGGCTTGGGCAGGTGGATTATTTGCAGTGCATGTATAACGTTTGTACTCAGGATGCTATCCTGTTAATCAGCAGCATTAATGAGTGACATCGATGTGACTATGTTTCCGAGTATGGGCAGCATTTTTAAATAGAGAAATGCCTTTTTATTAAATGTGAATATATTTAACTTTTTTACTGTGGGAAGATGTGGTCTGTGTGCACATGCAGTTTTATTTTTAAAGGCTGGACTTGCATGTGTCACAGGGTGTCTTAACGTGAATCAGTTACAAGAGTAGATGTTCGTTTTTACGTTTTAAGTACTGTTCATAATTGCGGGAAATTTTCACTAACTCACAACTTTGTCAACGCTGCAGGAAACCAGTTCACTGCTGTGTACATGAGTAAATAATTCACGGTTGTATTAAGATGGAGGCCCATTACCTAACAAGGTTGAGGCTCATGTTCCACTGTTTATACAAAACCACGTTACAATACGAATGTTGGTGATGACAGTGTTAATAGGTGAAATGAAATCAATAACAGTTTTTTTTGTAATACTGTCACTCAGAAGAAATACAAATCTTGACAGAAGGGACTGGGTGTATTCAATAAACGAAGAGTAATGAAGGACAGGAAATTCAGAAGGCCAGGTGGTTGAACTGTCAAAATGTTCCTTTCAGTGACAGTATACAAGAAAACAAACGTTATTATTCGTAAATAACTTTGTAAATGTTTCAGCCCATCGAAGCAGACATTTGACAACGTCTATTAAAAGTTGTCCGAAACGTAAAACATCTTGGCAATTAAAACAGCGCTTTTTAGATGTTTAAAATGCACGCATCTCTCATTACTGCTTCTGCCCAGGTGCATGAGTTGGTGAAGCAAGGTCGACTGGAGTTCATAATTGGGGGCCAAGTGATGCATGACGAGGCCGTCACGGAGCTAAGTGCCCAGATCCTGCAGCTCACCGGTAACAATAACATCACTGCAGATAGTCCCCGAGTTACGACGGTCCAACTTACGATGTTTGGATCTTACGATGGCGATAGCGACAAAATTTCGATTTAATGCTTTCGTGACTGCAGGGATAATAAAATAAAATAATATAATAAAATAATTCTCACATTTTATTATATTATTATATTATTTTATTATGTTTTATTTTTATTCTTTTATTATTTCCATTCTACGTGACTTTACCGAAAGAACCAACAAAAAAGCGACAAAGTTGTAAAATATTTAAAATTTCGCGCGGCAGCAAAACGCAACAGCGTACTAGGTACGAATCTTGGTGAGTACAGTACAATATGATACGATACGGTACGTTCAATGCATGCATGATAGATAGCTTTAGCGATTTCATTTTAGGATTATTACGATACGATACGTTCAATGCATGTTAAAAGTTTTTATAGCAGATAGGATTGTGTCCTGAAAAAACTTTCTATTAAATTGCAGTTCATATAGGTAGGCTAAGAATTTACCTTGGTTTTTTTTACTCTACATTTTACTGTGCAATACAGTATTGTAATTAATAAATACATACAGTATATAGTTTATACAGTACGGTACTGTAAATTTCTCTGTTTTGCTAAATTATCACCATTCTCTAAGACTCCTGGGTAGGCTAGGCCATCTTCGACTTACAATATTTTTGACTGACGATGGGGTCGTCGTAACGTATCTCCATCGTAAGTCGAGGACTACCTGTGTAGGTATGCAGGGTTTTGCATTTGCCAATACTTCGCCCAGAGGAACCCTCTTTATTTAAATACAATGACATATATTCCTATCGACCATACACAAAAATAAACTACAAGCATATGTCAAAAAGCTCTCACAATCATTATTAACTGCCTTAAAGCAGAATAATGTATACTTGGCTGACATGTCGCACAGTGACGATTCTTGTGAAGAAGGCTTTGCTAATAATGGATGTGGCGAGTTTATTGTTTTTATATCCTTTATATTAAGTTCACTTGCTTGCTTGCTTGCGTGCTTACGACCGTGCAAATCTTTCAGTCGTTTTTTAACCCACTTCCCGTGATCCAATCGAGCTGACATTTTCCACACAGACTCGTTGTGCGTGACAATTAATTTTCGTGAAAATATTTTTCAAAATTTTTACACTTTTTAGGATTTTTTTTTTTATATTTAATTACCAATTGCTTAATGGTGGCAGGCAATCATCTGACCCATAGGTGGCAGCCATCTCAAGCCAGAGGACGAGAGGACTCTAGCCGCCCGTTTCAAAGACCAATGTGGGCTGAGTTGTGGCCCATTGAACACGCATATAAAGGATTTATAGTGAAAAAACTTTGTTTTTACGGGTTAATTTTTTTACATTTGTGCTTGAGAACCAATATCAGCGTAGTCCGGTCACTTACATTTCTTTTCCAATTCTGTAATGACACCTCTGCATATTACCATTGCGGGGAATGGAGTTGGATTGTCACCGATGAAGCTCTCATGATTTAAAGGCAAGGTCACTCGCCATTAGACACCTGGCTGCCTCAACTACAACAAGAATAATCAAAGTGAGCATACGTGCTCTCCCGCACTTTTGTACACAACCGTTGCCGTTTGTTTCATCCATTTGCCGGCAGAGGGTCATGGGTTCCTGTACGAGACGTTCGGTGTGAGGCCGACGTTTTCTTGGCACGTGGATCCATTTGGCGCCTCGGCCGCCACCCCCAGCCTCTTCGCGATGGCCGGATTCAACGCCCACCTCATCTCTCGCATCGACTACGATGCCAAGGATGCCATGCAACAGTTGCAGGTCATTGGTAATAGCCATTACCATTGTTATAGCAGGAATGCAACGTAGCCCTCCCACCTCGCAATGTGATGAAGTGTCAGGGCTTAAGGTCACGTGTTGATTCAATGATGTATATTTATTTTTTATAAATGGCAGTGATTATAGTGCCAAATTGCCTTACAGTGACTGAATCAGTCCTTCCTGTAAACCCGTTCCATGTCATTTGCTAAATGTGCTGTTCGACGCTTGGGCGTAATCATTTTAACGGATGAATCGATGCATCGTTAGATGCTTAATTATTGTCCTTTTAACTTTGCAGTGTTATCGCCTTTCAAGGTTACCACCCTTGTCCATGTGCTTAAAATAATTAGACCATTGTTGCTCATCACAAATTATAGTCGAGCATTTTGTCTTTCGCATTTACACCTTTAAATTCCAGGCCAATTTCCCACATTTATATTTAGATATACAGTGACGTGATACTTATTATTTCCCAAAAAGGTTGGCTTTTGCCCTCGCGGAATGTAAATTGAAAACTGTTCATATGCAGCACCTACCGCTGGCTTCTCAGCCACCGTCATTGTGTGATTGATGGAATGCCGAACTTGCAATCACACGTCGCGAGTTTCGTTTGTGGTAACAGAACGATGTAACCCTATTACCTGCAACTTGACACGGGTTAAACATGAGGTGAAGTATCACAACCTCTATTTCGACCTGAGGAAAATCCGATGGGCCGTGAAGCTCTTTTTTCACAGCTGCCCAGTGCGGACGGCTCGGCAAGCTACACACAGCCCTAACCTGTGTGCCGTCATCCTCCAGAAGCTGCAGTTTGTGTGGAGGGGCTCCCGCTCACTCGGGGCACGACAGGAGATCTTCACTCACGTCATGGACGAGTACAGCTACTGCACCCCCTCGGCCCTTCCCTTCTCAAACAGGTTTGGGCTGCCACTGAGTGGGGGGTGGGTCGAGTGCTTTGGTAAGGCCCTGCACCGCCAAAATGTCAATGTGGCCCGGACAATTGTCACTCGTCTTAGTGGTGTGGAGCATTGTTGTGGTTGCCCACCCACACAACAGGTCTACTCCCCTCCCCCTCGCCCCCCCAAATCTGAGCCACACGTGAAATAGGTGTCTCTCACATTCTTCGCAAAGTCGCAGTACATTTGCAACATATCATGAATCATATAAACTGTTGGGGAGGGTAGTGGTGAAAGCACCGAGCTGAATCGCTTCCCGGACATGGCTAACGTCCGTAGTGAGTGATATCTGAACGAGGTCCAAGACCCTCACATCCCACTTCACCAATCCGTTGATCGGTCTGGTGAAGAATGATCAAACAGCCCACGTGACCTACACGGTGTGAGGCCTACATTCAGCACTGAATTGACAATGGACTGTGAATTAAATATTGTTCATTAAGCTGTCAAACATACAATTGACTTTATTCAAACCGGTCCGACATATTGGCTTCAGACAGATGGGCGGACGTAATATTCTGAGTAGATTACTTACAGGACAACTCAAACTGTCAGTAAGATAAAAAGTCTTGTTCGGTGTTTTATTGATGCAGGGCACATATAAACGTTCACCACATAGTGTAAATATAAGAGGCCTTTTGTGTCACAAAAGAGGCATTTTGTGACACTAATGGTAGATCTTCTTGGCTCTTTCGGTAAAGTCATGTAGAAGGGAAATAATAAAATAATAAAAATGAAACATAATAAAATTAAAAACTAATGGTAGAGTTGTATTGTAACTGGGGGAGAGGGAAACGGAAAACAATGTCGTGATTTAGTCCACTGCTCTGGCCCCTTCTCGCATACTCTCTCAGGAAATTATGGCGATTTACGTCAAAACGGAAATTGTATTTTTGCTCAAGTCGATCCATCACAACTTCACTACACGAGTGTGTAACACCAGCAGCTGAGTCATGAATACAAAAAACAATTTATTCATCGTTTGCACAGAAGACTAACTAAATTAGCGTTCATCAGAATGCCACAATGTTTTGTTCTTTGTTGTATCCTTCCCAGGAGTGGATTTTATTGGAATGGCGTAGCCCTGTTCCCAGACCCGCCGGCTGATGGTATCTACCCCAACATGAGTCTGCCGGTTACAGCGGACACCGTGAAGCCTTACGCCGACACCATGGTGGCAAACATCCGTCAGCGAGCCGCGTGGTTCCGCACCAACACACTGCTCTGGCCCTGGGTACGCGGCAACGCACCACACGTGCTTCACACAGTCATGCCGCTGTGCAGATCTTACAAACGCACACGTGGTTTAAGCCGTCTTAGTTTTTTTATCACCTCGGTTGATGAGAAAAATGCTGAGCAGAGGCCCGAAAATCCAAAACAACAGGGCGGCCAGAAACAAACATCACTATTGAAGGTGTGGTAGAGAAGAGATAATATGTCACATGAATTGAGAAGGGTTTTGAGAATATGGGAAGAGAGATAATGGATGAAGTTATGAAATTGCGCAGAGCAAGCCTTTGAGTAATTTGGTAGTTGATTGTAGCATGGATGAAACAAAACGATCAGGCTGGTAGACTCAATTAATTAGTCACAATCGTAAAGCTGATATTAAATGGTTAATTTTCTGATGTGATTCATGTTTTTTCAGTTTAAAATGGTTGCAGCATGATGTGATTAAAGTTGTGCAAATGAAATGGAACGAAAGCAGAACAGTGCGGAGAGAAGTATTGATAGCTGCATCATGGGACCTCCTTTGCCAGTACCAAAATATGAGAATAGGTTTTCCCCTTTTTTCTGGCAACAAAACAGGTGTTAAGATATTCATATTCTTGGTTCTGTCGGTAAAGTCACGTAGAAGGGAAATAATAAAATAATACAAATAAACGTTTCGATTGCAACACAAGCAATCATCATCAAGTGTTAAGATGTTAAAACACCAAACTGAAACCTTTTACAAGGAATCATGTCTGCATTAACCACAATACAATGCAATGCAGAATGCAAAAAAAACGTACTCTAATAATATATGCATTGTCTTTGAAACTGATTGGTCCACGCCAAAGACAGCTTTCTTTTGAGCCTCGTTTCAAAACGCTGTTAGACCAGAGGACATCCTCTTTCTGGGAATTCACTGACAGAAAAAGGAACACATGGAATGGAGTAATCACAGAAGTTGTAATCCTCGTATTGACCGTTCAGAAAAAGTGGTCTTGGTCAGGATACATCGGTAAAAAGGATTATGGATGTTGAACTTATTTCGCACCATACATAGCCAACTCTGCTAATCGGAGGTGCGGGGGAAGGACAACAATCCGTCATGGCTCGATAGATTGTTACAGCACAGGACCCTCAGAGATGGTGACAGCCTTCGTCCAGCAGTGGATTTATCATTCATGATGATGAACAATACATGTGTAGGGGTGTTAGAGAGAGAGCCCGTTATGCATGGCAGCCTATGGCAAACAAACACAGTGGGCGGGGCTACGTAAGTGCACGGGGAGGTGCCCTCTACGACGTCCGAGCCAGGCACCCTGGGGGGGGCTGGTTCGAACGTTATGATCCCCCGGGGCCCCACCCCTCAGGGAGGGGTTGGGTATAAAAGGGGATGTATCAAAGGGCTCGGGAGTTATGTTAAAAGCTAACCAGAGAAGACTGAAGACGTCTTAGATAGAGCCCTGGACTCCCCTAGTTCGATGTCCTTATCAGGGCCGAACAGGACTGAGCCAGCGGCGTGGTCCCGGAAGCCAGAGCCGGTGCTCTTGTAAGAGCTGGTCTGGGACTCCGGGTACCGGGCCCGACTTACCAGTGTCGGGCCAGATAGCCTCCCCTAGCCCATTAGTGGAGGACTAAGAGGCAGGCTAGGAGTAGCTAGGACGTGTATCCTTAGCTAGTCGGGTGAGGGGGCCGATACCCCCTCCAGTGCTGTATGCCACGAACGTGCTGTGTCAAATAAACCCGTGTGCCTCCAACTCCGGTGTCAAGAGTCGTGAACGATATTACACATGCATGGAAAAAGAAGACTAAATACCAGATTGTGGATATAAATACTGTTCATCGAAGAAGAAGAAGAATATGAAAAAATGTGCACGTTGAGCACGTATATAGGCTGATCACAAATTTGCGAATCGCTCGATGGCCCTCGGCGCATTGCCTCTCTCCTCGTTCGGTTCAGATGCTGTCGTCGGTTACGAAGTGGCTCCCCGTTGGGCGCGTGCTCCGATTTTTGTTGTTGCAGGGCTGCGACAAGCAGTTCTTCAACGCGTCCGTGCAGTTCGACAACATGGACCCGCTCATGGCCCACGTGAACGCGCACAGCCAGGAGTACGGCGTTCGTCTTCGCTACGCCACGCTCGGCGAGTTCTTCAGCAGCGTCAAGGCGGCGGGGCTTCGCTGGGACGTGCGGGATGAGCGAGACTTTCTGCCGTACTCCTCGGGTATGATGGGGAGCGAGCGGTTTCATCCGAGCGCTGTGTGAGACTCGGGTGAGGATTCGGGGGGGGGGGGGGGGGGTGTGCGAGTAGAGTACTTACGTATTTGTTGAACTTCTTCGCATCGTACGTAGCCAACCGCGTGGGTGGACTCGGGTAAACCATCAAACCCGGTGCGAACCGCTCTGTGGTTTCCAACCCTGCCTGTCGAGTCCTTGGTGCCCTGTGATATTTAGCTCATAGCACTTCAAACTAAATGAACAAACAAACCAAAGTAAAATGATCGTAAACATCCATAGCCGGTGAGACTCCGCCTTTCACCTCTGTCTCTTGGTGATACTCAGACTAAACTGTGCTGTAGTGATTTTTTAAAGTATTATACAATTTAAATATTCAGTTGTTTGTAGGTTATCATTACACGTTTCAGGCAGGATGTGAAATCGAATGAACGCTCACGCAAAAAATAATTTAGCAACGCACTTATTTACAGTATGATGCCTTCCCATGCCTCCAACCATCACCGCGTTTAACTCAGACTGGCAGTCGGCATGGACCGGCTTCTACGCCAGCCGCAACACCTTGAAGGGGCTGGCGCGGGGGGCGCAGGCCGTGCTGCACGCGGCCGAGACGCTCTTCACGCTCTACGTGCGCTCGGGCCTTGCCTCCTCGCAGGACGAGCTGCTCGTATTCGAGCAGCTGCGGCGGCTGCGCTGGGCCTCGGCTCAGGTCCGGTGGCGAATGCACGCACACGCTCGTCGCACGCGCAAACACGCTCACACTTCCAGACGTACGTCGCCACGTGCGCAAAACGCTCGCTCAAGTTCACGCGTCCACAGACGCGCGTTCACGGATCGGAACACGGGTGATTGCACTGTGCTATGAACCTGTCAATTGTACGTGTGTATGTTGAACTGCTTTCGCACCGTACGTAGCCAACAGTGTTAATCGGAGTTGCGGGAGAATGACAACAAACTAACCATGGATAATCTCAGGGCTATAGAGAGGGACGATAGATTGGGCGATTTACCCCAGACCCTGGGTCCATTAGAAAGGTTTGAAGAGGTCTCAGAAGGGGCCTCATCTGGCACTTTACCTCGGCCCTCTAAATACATTTGAGCGACCCTGCATATTCCACATCATAACCTGGTCCATGCTCATATTCAGCTCGCAAATGCTCCGTTTCTCTCGCTTGATGACAAACGTCTTCCGAGTTTGATCTCTCCGACTTGCTAGTAGCAAACCCGGCGAGTGACCCTCGTCTCTCTAGGTGCAGCACCACGACGCGGTGACGGGCACGGAGTCGCCGCCCGTGCGCGAAATGTACGTGCGCGACCTGGCGGACGGGGTGGCGGGCGTCACGCCTGCGCTGGCGAGCATGCTGAGCGCGCTCGTGCCCGGCCTGCCGCCCCCCTCCAGCATGCGCCTCCTTTCGCCCCTCTTGCAGCTCCGCACAGGCACGGATGCACGCCCGTATGTTTTCACCGGTCTGCTGCCCGATCAATCGGTCAATCGAGCAACCTTCGGTTGTTTGCAAAACAAATGTGCCTTCTTCTTAGTTTTTTCGGTAAAGTCACGTAGAAGGGAAATAATAAAATGATAAAAATAAAACATTATTTCCCTTCTACGTGACTTTACCGAAAGAACCAAGAAGATTAATCCCTGCAGTCACGAAAGCTTTAAATCTAAATTTAAATGTGCCTTCATCCTGCTATTTTTCATGTTGTTCCCAGCACATGTGTTTATCAAGTTTGGTGTGTCTTCGTGATGTATAGCAGCATCGCTACAAGAGGAATGTGTTAAAAACACTGCTCCCTGCGCAATGCTCGTCGTGGATTACGTAGACTCGTCAGAGGCCCTTCTGTGTGTAAGCATTTGTTGAGAAGCACGCCATTATTTGTCATTGAAGTCCCTTGCTGTTCCAACAGCTGTGTTACGGAACAGCAGCACAGTGGTTGTCTACAACCCTCTGGGCTGGGAAGTGATCTCCTTCATCAACCTGACGGTGTCCAGCCCAAAGGTGGCCGTGTGGGACCAGCACGGCCGACCTGTTCCTACCCAGGTAACGATGCCCTATTATTCTCGGCGTCCCTTGGCCCGTTCGGTCGCTGGGCATGACCGTTTCGTTCACTGGTAGCCCCTTGCAGGCATCTTTACACTTCTCTATGTCTGCCATTTTGCTGCGTTGTTAATAACCTTGTTGGGCTCACCACATATACAGAATGAATAATATTTCATTCCATCATCCTGTTAGCCTTATAGATTAGTGTTTCTTCAGCAGTATTTACGAAATGCAATCCATCAGCAGTCAGGCTTCGTAAGCAAATGCAACAGCAAGAGCTTTCCGTTGGCAATAGGCAAGCTGTCCACAAAGACTGTGGGGCCTGTACATCAATATCTAAATTGTGGAAAACTAATTAACACATTTTTCGCTTTCGTGGTAGCTTGTGGATAATGAATGTATAGATAAAGATCTAGTTAGTGCAGACCATAGCTTTGGTTTGGTGGTTAGTATTTAAAAATTCTCATGCCTGGTATGATCAGTAATTGTGGGTAATTCAAGTTAATTGTTGGAATAGAATAGAATTATGTACAGACCGATGAGTGTAATTACAAATGTTTGGCCGTGCATTGTCAAGGAATTGTATTTATGTGGCGAGTTATTCACTTAAAATTAATGACTGTACAATTGTACATTTCACTCGAGGCCTCGCTAATGGCATACCTTAAATAAACTAACACCATTTGTATTATAGGAACATCCTAAGGTATATATTTAAAGACATATATCAGCCCTTATAAATATATTCAAATGAATTCAAATTTAAACGGTATATATATTTTTACATTTGCTAATGTGGAACCACACTAATATGCACATACCCAAATTCCAAGCCTTAACCTAAAATAAAAAAAACTGCGGACCCGACGGGCGTGTGTTTCCATCGCTTGTGCCAGGTCTACCCATCAGCGGCTTCAGCCAAGGACTTCTCCGTCTATTTTCCCGTGCGTCTCGACCCACTGGGCATCTCCAGCTTCCGAGTGCAGGTGTCATCCGCTTCTATGAAGAGCACAGGCTGGGCTGCGGTCGGCCCGGACGCCCCCGCTGGTTTTCCCACCTCCGTGACGGCACCGCTGTCGTTCCCCAGGAGGTGGCACCCGGATGGAGTGCGACTCGCAGAACGGCCCAACCTCATTGCTGTGGAAAATAAGTGCTACATGCTCATGTTCGACAAGGACACAAACCTGCTGCACTCCGTCACGGACAAGTAAGAAGAAACACTTGTGGGAGCTGTGCAAACCTCATGTGTGTATATAATAATAATACAGCTGTAAATTTTGATTTAAATAATTTTCTTTCTGTGGTTTTCACACCTGATGATGATTGCTTGTGTTGCAGTCGAACCGTCGTGAGAATTTGTATTGTTTTATATTTGTATTATTTTATTATTTCCCTTCTACATGCCTTTACCGAAAAAACCAAGAATAATAATAAAGCTGTAATTCAGTTTTTATATATTTATTATATCAATAATTATAATGATTTGCATACCTTTCATCAATCCACTGTTAGATAAAGACTTTCCCACGCCGTGTCGGTCATATTTCGCCGTGCTTGTCAGTGCAGGTTCGTGAATGGGACACCCAGGACCGGTTCAGATATTGCTCGCCGCTGGCCGTTGAATTAAATTAAGCTCACTGGGGTTCATAGTACACTCCGCGCACCACTAAGCCACTGCTGGACCCAATTATTATGGTTTCTCAATGTTAAATTGTTAAGTTCCATCAAGAGTAAATTGCAGGTTTAAGTGACCTGCGACAAGTCATCTCTCACTATATTTCAAGGGAATATCATTTGTGTTTCCAAGTATGACTTGTTCATGTAGAAAGCATGTAAGTGTAATATAAATAAGTGATTTTTTTCACAAATACGTATAAAGGAAAAGCTATAGGACATGCTCCTGAAAGCCATTCATAAATATATTTTTCCACAATCCATGTAAATGGTAATTGATAAAATGTATAGGCTTAAAATACATTTATTTTGAAGTTACTCACATCTAGTGTCACTCCACTCTTCCTGACACGCGTGATATTTTCACATTGAAATATTAAAACAACTTTGCTCCGCAGCCCATGGCTTGCAGTTGTAATGCAGCACACGCATGTCTGGCTTCATGCAGGGTCTCTACGCAGACTGTACTGGTGACCCAGCGCTTTCTGGAGTACCGTAGCCAGACGAACGTGACGATGGGGCAACCTTCAGACAACTACATCTTCTCTCCCCTGGGCCCAGCCACGGACGTGTCTCGATTCGTGTCCATGGAGGTGGTCAGAGGGCCGCTGCTCACCGAGGTCAGGCAGTACTTTTACGGGTGAGTGAACAATGCAGCTTCAACCGTGATTTTTTTTGCATGACTCATGGTTACAAATAAAACGTAAACGTGTATTATAGATGCCTCTGGAGGGGCTCTCTAGGGCAGCCTCCAGTGGAGTTCGCTTCCACCAGCAGTGACCTGAGCAGGCAATTACAGGGCTGCGCCTTTAGCTTTTATAAATGCATCTGTGGCAGATGCATCTATAATGTCAATGTAGTTTTTTAAATATTAGAATTTTGCACTGAAATGTAAAGTTCACTTAAACAATGTAACAATTTAATAAAACCAATGTACATTTGTTTCATTGTCCTGCAGCTGGCTAAAATAATGACTACTCCATTCATTCTCGATTTGATTGTATAAAAAAGGCTTTGTTGTGCAATATACGTGCAGTGTGGAGATGTCACGTGATGTGCAGGCTATAACGGGAACTCCGATCCTGTGGTCACATGTTTTTTAAAGTTTTTTTTTTTACTTACCTTTTGCGTCTTTCATTACCCCTCTTAAGTTCACCATTATTTGATTTGCTCCTGCTGCCACTGCTTTGTTTTCCAGCAAGGACTCTTCACCCCCCGGCTCTCACCGCTACGCGGTGCTGACGCGCCTGCATGACGCCCCCGGCGGCTCGGCGGGGGCCGCCGATCTGAGCTGCCATCGTCTCGAGCAGGAGCTGTGGGTGGGGCCGCTGGCGATGGACCGCGAGACCGTCCTGCGGACCAGCACGGGCCTGCGCACCGGCCGCGTACTCCACACCGACAACAACGGCTTCCAGATGCAGCGGCGGCTCTACCGCAAGTTCCCCAAAAACGAGCTGCCCAGGGTCGGTTCTGCTTTTATGCTGCGTGTTTCTGCGCAACCTCCAATTTGCACGGTTTGGTTGCGTATGGTGCGAAAGAAGTCCGACGTTCATATATTGCAAGCGAGCGACTGTATCTGGAATAGCAGCATATGTTTTCCGAATCTTTATTCATCGTGAAGGAATCCCGTGAGCTGTAAAGTTCTTTTTTAAAATCCTTTATATTAAGTTCGCTTGCTTGCTTGCGTGCTTGCTTGCTTGCTTACGACCGTGCAAATCTTTCGGTCGTTTTTTAACCCACTTCCCGTGATCCAATCGAGCTGACATTTTTCACACAGACTCGTTGTGCGAGACAATTAATGTTCGTGAAATTTTTTTCCCCAAAATGTTACACTTTTTAGGGAAAACAAATTAAATATTTAATTACCAATTGCTTAATACTGGCAGACAATCATCTGACCCATAGGTGGCAGCCATCTCAAGCCAGAGGACGAGAGGACTCTAGCCGCCACGCATATAAAGGATTTAGAGTGAAAAACTTTGTTTTTACGGGTTATACTTATTACAGATGTCCAATAGGGGCGGGTTGAGAAAGTTTCAACAACAAGAAATACAAAAACACGACAGGGAGTGCTAAGTAACTGAAAGATAATTAAATCACTACGAAAACATAAATCAACTTTAGTTTTTATTTTACCAGGTAAAACCCACTGAGCTACTTGCTTTTTCAGAAGCGACCTGGCCACAAATGATAGCTCAACAAAGTGGCTTATAAATTGATGTCGAGGTTCGTTGGCCATTCAGCAGCATTGGTTGTTACGTTGATTTTGGTGCTTTGGTGCCGCCGTTGAGTGGTTTTGTTGGGCAGCAGGTGACTTCGTGCTCCATTCTGCTCTGCGACTGCAGGGGGAACTCCTTTCCTCAGGGTCTGTGTGGGGGCAGCATGTGGCAACATTCTGTAATGCGCGCACGCGGCTTAATGCAGTACCGTAACGCATCCATCGATTGCTCGGAAAGAGCTGTATGCTTTGTCGGGACCATTGTTCTTGGCATGTTTTAACCAATTCCTTAGATATATAAGTGACTGGATATTCGTATGAGTACTCGTATAAATGAGCACGATTTTCTCTGCGTTCAAGAACTACTACCCACTGGTTCGGACAGCCTTCATTGAGGAGGTGATGGAGCACGGAATGAGGCTCACCGTTCACTCTGAGCGGAGCCACGGTGTGGCGAGTCTACACGACGGAGAAATGGAGGTAAACGCATCCTTCTATCTATTTTTTTACGACTGCCAGCTTGTTTAATTGCACGTAAAATGTCCATTTCAATAAAGGTTAGCTTCAGCTTGGCGCAGGCGAACTGTGTCAAGCTGTAGCGGATGCGCTGGAGTTAGCTCTGCTTCACGTAGGGGGAAATTAAATGTGGAACTTCCAATTCGCCATGGGGGTGGCATTTGCCAACAGCTGACGATGACGGAGCAGCAGCTGACCACTCATCCTCCCCACAGGTGATGGTGCACCGCAGGATGTGGAACAACGAGAACCACGACTACAACCTGACGCTGAATGACACCTCGCTCGTGCGACCGCTCTTTTGGCTTGCGCTGGCCAGGAAGAGCGACGGCGTGTCGCTCTATCAGCGCACGGGCCTTCAGCTGGAGAATCGTCCCCTCGTGCTTGTGGGAGAGACTCCAGGTCCCTCCTGCGATTGCAGAACTCACCACGGCTTCCTTTCGTCTCATTTCCTTAGAACCCATTTTTTAATCCTTTATATTAAGTTCGCTTGCTTGTTTAGGACCGTGCAAATCTTTCGGTCGTTTTTTAACCCACTTCCCGTGATCCAATCGAGCTGACATTTTCCACACAGACTCGTTGTGCGTGACAATTAATGTTCGTGAAATTTTCAAAAATGTTACACTTTTTAGGACAAAAATATTATATTTAATTACCAATTGCTTAATGGTGCAATGCAATCATCTGATCCATAGGTGGCAGCCATCTCAAGCCAGAGGACAAGATGACTCTAGCCGCCACGCATATAAAGGGTTTATAGTGAAAAACTTTGTTTTTACGGGTTATACTTGTTTGTGTTTAGTTTGTTGCCCTTCCCCGCACCTCCGATTAGCACGGCTTGGCTACGTACGGTGCGAACGAAGTTCGACATACATCCATGTCACAGCCACTTTTCACTGCCAACTCCTGGGTGGTGCATCTGCGAGCACTCGTCAAGAGGCATCTGCCTCTTTTACCTATTAATCCAAACCCTAGGTGGTATTGTCTCTGTTATTTTAGAGAATGCATTTCTTAGAGACAGTCGTATACATCTACCCCGCGTGTGTGTGCCGATGCTGCTGCTCGGTTTTCAGAGTTGGGCGTGGCACCCGTTGGCCGGGCCACGGCCCTTCCAGCTCTCCCGCCCAACGTGCACCTGCTGAGCCTGCAGCTGCCTGGCTGGAGCTACAGCTCCGACCACCAGAAGCACCTCAAGCGACTGCGCCGACACAAGGCCGAGGGTGCGGCCAACTCGACGGCGCACGGTCCAAGTGAGTCGAGCACGGTTGTCCCACGTTTCCCGGGGGCAGGATGCCTGTGGTGCCTATCGCTGAACACAGTGGCCGAAATGTTAATTGCCTCGCCTGGTATGCAAGAGGTCGTGGGTTCGATCCCGACCCTGACGCCTGCTGCTGTATATTTGGAGTTTGCACGTGCTTCCCCGTCAGTCGCGTGGATTTTTCTCTGGGTCCTGCGGTTTCTACCCCCCACATTTAGAAACGTGTGTTTAGAGTATTTTGGCTGCTATAAATTTGCACGTGATGAGAAGCCACTTTGTTAAGCTATCATTTGTGGCCAGGTCGCTTCTGAAAAGAGCTATATAGCTTGGTGGGCCTTACCTGGTAAAATATTTGTTTTATCTACGCGTATATAGTTTTAGTTTTACAGACCTGCGGCGGTGATGGTTTGCGTTTGTCCGCGGCTGTCGCAGACTTGGAACGAGTGCTGCTGAGGCTGCAGCACCTGTACGAGGAGGGAGAAGATCCTGTGCTCTCACAGGCAGCCACCATCGACCTGAAGGTAACCCTAAGCTTAGGCTAAGGCAAAGCACAGAGGCTCACTTAGCCAAAGCGCTCGAACTTACTTATATACGGTACATATAAGGCAAAAAGAATAGTTTAGTTTTATTTGTATTTTTTTAAAGTTATTTGTTTACCTTTACTATACTTTGCACGCCTATCGTGTTTCTGTAATGTTTGTTGATAACTTTCGGACCCCGTGCTCCAAATAGATATCTGTGAAAAGAGCTTTATAGATAATCGGATTCCTCCGGTATAAATACATTTTTTTGATTCTGATACGTCTATCACATATCTGCCCTCACCAGAGTGTGTACCTGGTGTAGCTGTCATGTTCTGTAGATGTTCACAAAATCAAACCTTTTCACATAGAAAAACCACAATTTACAGACTTTTTTCAATCCACTGCTGTCATTGGGTGTTGGTTGACCATACTTCACCACGCTGGTCAGTTGCGTTTTATGCGAAGAATGTGCTTGATTCAGTTAATTTGTCACTCGCCAACATCGGTGGCATTCAGAGCCTATATTGTAAACGGATAAACGGATTCATCGTGCTATTTGCTCCTCCATGTAGCTTAGAGCAGCGTTCTTCTTTGCAAGGCCCGTGGGCCACTGGCGGCCCCTGATGGCCTTTAGTGCGGCCCCTGACGTACGGCCCCCCGACAATACAAGTGATGTCTTATCGACGAAAGGGGGCCCTCTCTGAAAATTAGTGAACAACACTGGTTTAGAGTCTAAATACGTAAACGTAACTTTTCGGCACTGAACGTTGTCTTTGTTTTGTGCTTTTCTTAAAATGGTGCCTCTCAGTTCGTAATTTTCATGCAATTTTTTTGAAATCACATATTAGAGGGTGACCTCAAACCATGGTACGTCTGTGAATCTTAAACAAGTGCACAATGCGAATGTGAGTAGACTGTGCCTTTCGTTGTATAACCTTGACGTGTGATCTCAATTACCGTATTTCACTAATGGACGCATTCAGGGCCTATATTTTAAATGGACTCTGGAGTGTGGGCTCCCCTACCTTGTCCGAAGAGTTTGATTATTTATTAAATGAACCATGCCAAGCGTAAATAGCCACTGATGCTCGTCCTCTGTCACCCTCCTGAATACTGTCTCCAATGTTTATGGTGCACTAGCTCAATAATGAGACTAATAAGCCTTTCGATACCAAAAATGTTGTTCACTGGGTGGTTTTGTTTACGGTTACCTCTTAGCTGTGGTGGAAAACATTTTTTTCATGCACATGTCTAAAAATATTTTTGGGCTTGAACATAAACAGTCCATTATTGCCTCCTGTGAACCCTAATTACTGAAATGTGTAAGCCTGGTTTTGCATCATATATTTCCTGGCCATGTATTGAGAAGTCATGTCGTCAGAGCTCGTCCTGGGATACCACGCACGTCTCTCGCTCGAGACGCCTGGGGACATAGGCATGTCTTACTGCCGCTCCAGTGTTTTTAACGTAATTCTTTGTATTTCCTTTTTTTAGCGTTGGAGTAGCGGTTTTTTTTGTATCAAAACCATTTTAATCGTAGCTCTTTTAGAGTGTTTTTTCTTACGTAAATAGTTTTTTTCAGTAACTTTTATCGTGGCCTTGTTCGCCTTGCCATCCTGGAAAGTACCACAGCGCCAACAACAACGACTACAGCAATGGTAGAGCAACTACCTCGACAGCAGCAACAATAGAGCAATGACACCAACTCCAGCACACAGCTGCTACAGCAACAAAATCGACAGCAACTACAGAAATGGAAACAGCGACAACAGCGAAAACAACCACAACAACAGCAACTACGGAAACAGCTACAACAACATATACTACAGCAACAACTGCAGTGACACCAGCAACTACAGCAATAGTTAGGGCTTGGGCAACAACATCGACTGGAACTACAGAAATGGAAACAGCTGCGGCAACATCACTCCTCTTTTTGCATCACTTCACAGGTTGCCGGTTAATTTCCACATTCAATTCAAGGTCATCCTCACATTCGAGGCCCTGAATAATCTTGCGCCTCCAAATATTGGGGAGTTGATGCCACCCCTGAGTTCCAACAAGAACTGTTGAGGTCAGCTGACTTAGATCTCCTCTGCATCTTCAGAAGGAAGCTGAAGCCCCTGGGCGATGTAGCCTTCGCTTCTGTTGCACTTGGATTGTGGAATTTTCTGCCTAAGGCTGTCGGGGAGTCTGGTTCGGATGGGATATTCAAGTCCCGTCAAAAAAAATAATTACCTTTCAGAAGGCATTTCCTGTTTTAACTTTGCCACTTCTTACCCAATCCCCCCTCCCAGCCCTTGATATAAAGCTCGTTGAGATTTTATAATCTGCAATTTTTAATAACTGATCAGTGTGCTGAATTATGGTTAAACAACCCTCATTACCAACGTGGTACAGAGAGGCCCTTGTTCCACAGCGGATTGTCAAAGGGGCTGTATTTTTTATTATTATTTACCCACACTGCATTTTGTCTATTATTTTAATGCTTTTATGTTGTAAAGGTCAATTCTGATGTGTCCAGTCTCCGTGGATATTTCAGACACTGGGCTGAATGCTGTGGGGTTTTTTTTTATCCCTCAGAATATTGTGAGATGCAATTTATCTTTGAAATGCAGTGGTGTTGTTTTCCATTTCATATTATGATGAATTATTAAAATCTACTATTTCCATTTCGTGTAAAAAAAAAGCATTTATGTTGCTATGCGGTTGTCTGGCATTCATTCCATAGAGCATTAAAATATGCACCATTTAGTTCCGACGAGGAGCTGAACAGAATGATAGATGCTGTATATCTCAAACCCTTTGTATCGTTGAGTTATGTCTATGGGGAAATCGTTTTAGTCTTTACAGGCTTCACTTTTGATACTTAAGGAATAAGGCAGAAAATGTCATGGTTTTGATTTCAGATCCTCTTGGCCTCACTGGGCATAGTGAGGCATGTGGAGGAGCGATCGCTCACAGGCACGTGGGACATTGCTCAGCTCCACCGCTGGCAGTGGAATGTGACAGCACAAGCGAGCGCAGGTAAAACTGTCAACAACGTGGTTTTGTACTAATAGGGGTTTTCCCCTTTTTTCTGGCAACAAAACTGACACCTTTTGCAAGGAATCATGTTTACATTTACCACAATACTTGCAGTCAAATGCAAACAAAAAACAATACTCTGGTAATTTATGCATTGTCTTTTAAACTGATTGGTCCACACCAGAGACAGATTTCTTTGGAGCCTCGTCTCATATGGTGTTGGCGTCATCTGGTCGAACGCCATATGAGACGAGGCTCCAAAGAAAGCTGGCTCTGGTGTGGACCAATCAGTTTCAAAGACAATGCATAAATGACCAGAGTATTGTTTTTTGTTTGCATTTGACTGCAAGTATTGTGGTTAATGTAAACATGATTCCTTGCAAAAGGTGTCAGTTTTGTTGCCAGAAAAAAGGGGAAAAACCCTATTAGTATATTTTGGAACTGGCAAAAGAAGTCCCATGATGTAACGTGGTTTTGATTTAAACATTTAACTGGCAGATATTTGTAGGGACCACCTTTGTGTGCATATATGAAGTAGGCATCATTTTTCGGAGTGTTTTTTTAGTGTATAAACTTGCCATGGGTGAGGCCAACAATGTTTCTTTTTCCTTGACCTTACACAGCCACCAAATTGTTTAAACTCCTCAATTGCCCATAAGGTAGCGTGGGTTCTAGTTCGCAAAATAAGGCAAGAGGTTCGTTCACTCTGGATTACCCTGATGATGGAATGGCTTCAGTTGATTTACCTGTATCCATAGGCATATTTATAACTGTTTAAAATAACCATTTTAATTTACCATCGTTGTTAAACTGAAAATGCATCTCGCAAACGAAACGATCACATTATCACGGATATATCGTTTTCAAGATTACACAATACAATTTCTTACATCGGTAGAATTATTTCCTTTTTCACTGTCTCATAAAATGTTCACCATTTAATCTAAGTGTGAGTTATATCGTAAGAGCTTCACTAGAGCACGTTTCCGTCCACCCTGTCCCCATGTGACACGAAGGGTTTGTTTTCAGTGCACGTTTTACCACCATTCGCGACACACGGAAGCCCCTTGTTCAGTGCAGGCGGTGAGTGCAATTCGTCTTCGAATCACAGTGGGGTTTTATTCTCCTCTCTCCTTAATGTACCGATGCATTGTCAACATGTAACCGATGTAGTTCTATCAGCGTTGTGTTTACTAACGCACGGTATTTTATTTGCAGAGGCTGCTCACGAAGAGAGAATGGTCCACGACGATTTCATTATTACTATTTTCCCCAAAGAAATTCGCACCTTCTTTGTCCACTTTGAAAGTATTATTTAACACTCTTTGTGAAGATTTAATATCCAAAATTGCTGCAACCTTTCAAAAACTCAATATATTTTCTATGATTTCTAATACTGTAGACATTTGTAAATGAATGTCAAATTAACTCTAAATGTTTGCACAAGTACAATTTTAGATTTTTTTTATCTATGTCAAACGCTGGGTTTCTGTCAGGAATCATTAAATGTACAGTATTGCAACACAATATTGTGCGCTACGAGTGGTGCGATAGCGGTTGCCCGTGTGAAAAGATACCTTTGGAAAGTATGTTAAGCGAGCACCATAGGACCTTGTCAACCTACCACATTGCCCTGCAAGAACCTGGGCAAGAAAAACTGCGTTGCTTTGGCCTCTGTTTTTTTTTTTATATTTGGAGAAACCAGCATTGTCCGTGTCTCATACATTGTGCATCCGACACATGCAAGTTGTTCCCAAACACCTCGCGCAATTTGCACGTCTCACACACACAGACATGCGTCATGTCACTTGCGTGGATTTGACGAGGGTGTTTCAAAAGCGATTTGACAAGTGACGGTAGCGGCAATGATATGCCGTGTGTACACCCTCGCTTGATGTTACTGGAATATTGTCTCCTCTTGCTACACTGGCCTAATGTGTGCGAACACAAGCCTTTTCACTTAAAAGTTGCAATGGAGTTTTCATATCCCAATTGATCACTACAAAATAAACAATCTTCTATTATAGCTTGGCTGATTTGTTACTATTGTCCTGAAGGGAAATAATGAAGCCAAATGTACATATATAATATGCAATCAATAGTAAACAATTAAAATAAGTGTGAAAAACAACAAAGCAATCAGATATATTTTATCGCGTATTACTATAAAAAAAAAAGTTCTAACTGTGACAATTGGAATTCTACGAACAAAATATGAAATGCATTGGAAAGATTAAATGAGCTTTCCAATGATGTACCATACAATGTGCTGTCCCATTTACCTTTCACAAACTGCATTAATATAACCGATAAACATGAAGCGTGGCTATCCGTTTCCCACCATGGGCCTTCCAACTTAAATGTAACTGATTTCAATTCCGTTGCAATTTGTCCTGAATAAAGCCACTATTTGAACCCAGACTAATTTGTCCGAATGAGTGCACGTGCAATTGTGCGTCTGTGTGTGTGTCTATCTCTGGTTATGCCTGTGTTTGTCCATCTCCGATAGTGTCTGCGTGTTTCTGATTGTGTTTGTGTGAAGAAACGTGGAATGTGGAGACATTACTTGGCCACGGGTATAAAAGGGGCATAAGCACGTGGGTCTGTGGAAAGTGTTAGTGGTGAAGGGAATGGATAGTGTCGGGTTGGCATTGGTGTAAACTTGCCGACTCGCCCCCTACGTTATAACGTATGCTAAACTTCTTTCGCACCGTACGTGGTTAACCATGCGAATCGGACGTGGGAGTTAACACTTACACCAGAGGTGGGGCGACAGTCCGTGTTTATTTGTTAAAACAAGAACTCTTTACATAAAAATCATGCGGGAAGCCAACTCAATCCATGTACTGTACAGCATATCGACTCACAGTGGGCTTTTTGTGCCCATGTCGTCACGGAACATGCTGACAACCTAGAGTGTTTATTTTCTACCAATCATCCCTTTAACTGAGATGAATTTGCAACATGAGTAACACTGTACACGGGAAAACTTAGCGGAAACTCACGTTGCAAATAGTATGGCTGAGATAGCGTATGCACGTGTAGTGTAGCACAAGTCGGAGACGAGGTGTTGCAAGAGGCACCTTTATTGTAACACTCTTTCGGTTCACACAGGTCCGCCTCCTCCCTTCTTGATGCCGTACAGCCCACCTTAGACACAACCCTAACCGTGTTACACCGACGACATCGACCGAGACAACCAACAACTGCCCGGCCGCGCAATTATCGAGTGATGGTGGCGAAGACGACGGCGACAAGAGTCCACTCACTCCCAGAACCGACAGCCCGAAGCTCTCGCTCTCCGCTGCTTTTATCCTACTCGGCGTGGCCTGGCTCTGCCCTGGCCGTGCCTCCCTTCTAGAACTCACTAGCGGGTTCCAGGGGATTCCCAATGAGGTCTTCCATGACCCTTGCCCCAGTTCCTCCACCCTGCCGGCACACCCGTGTGTACGCTCAACGGCGTGTGCGCTGTCCACCGCAGTTTCCACTGCTGGACAGCAGTTTCCGCAATGTCACTCCACACGGAGAGGGTTGCGAGAGTCGACTGCTGCATTGGAACATACTCGAAACACGCTCACACAGAGCGCACAATGTTCTTGGTTCTTTCGGTAAAGTCACGTAGAAGGGAAATAATAAAATAATAAAAATAAAACATAATAAAATACAATTCTCACAAGTTTTATTATTTATTATTTCCCTTCTACGTGACTTTACCGAAAGAACCAAGAAGATGAATCCCTGCAGTCACGAAAAGCTTTAAATCGAAATAGAGCGCACAATGTTCACGCGCGTCCAAGCCCCATCTCCACTCGTTTGGGGACGCTGGATGGCGACTCATTTAACGGTCAAGTGACACTTCTGGCAGTGAACATCGGGCTGGCAATTCAGTGGCCAGGGATAAGCGTTGGGCGTGAGCGTCACGGTGCAGGAAGAGTAATGGAGATGGTTGGGGGGGTTAAAGTGAACTTGGAAAAAATTAACCCGTAAAAACAAAGTTTTTCACTATAAATCCTTTATATGCGTGGCGGCTAGAGTCCTCTCGTCCTCTGGCTTGAGATGGCTGCCACCTATGGGTCAGATGATTGTCTGCCAGTATTAAGCAATTGGTAATTAAATATTTAATTTGTTTTCCCTAAAGAGTGTAAAATTTTGGGAAAAAAATTTCACGAACATTAATTGTCTCGCACAACGAGTCTGTGTGGAAAATGTCAGCTCGATTGGATCACGGGAAGTGGGTTAAAAAACGACCGAAAGATTTGCACGGTCGTAAGCAAGCAAGCACGCAAGCAAGCGAACTTAATATAAAGGATTAAAAAAATAAAGACCGGAATTCTAGCAAAAAACGCCCAATGATGCTGGATGCAATTACTGTACCAGCGAAACGTCACAGTACTCAAATTGTAAACGTTGTGGATTTACTCTCCAACACACCAGGTGGGCTGACGTAGTAACTAATTGCCACGTTTTGTTTACTTGACAAACCTTACGAATTATTGGCTGTGTCCGGTGGTGGCGAGTTAACGACACATTTATATTTCGATTTAAAGCTTTCGTGACTGCAGGGATTCATCTTCTTGGTTCTTTCGGTAAAGTCACGTAGAATGGAAATAATAAAATAATACAAATAGAACATCAAAAATTTTTTTTTTTTATTATTTTATTATTTCCATTCTACGTGAAATAATAAAAATAAAACATTTTATGTTTTATTTTTATTAAAACATTTTATGTTTTATTTTTATCATTTTATTATTTCCATTCTACGTGACTTTACCGAAAGAACCAAGAAGACACATTTATATTTACGCGATCTAAAAAAAACCGTTATGAATATTGGTAAAGCTTGCGTGTTAAAGTGTACACAAAACCAAACAAGAAATGGAGAGCGACTCGGCATTATTTCTTACCAATAACAGGAAGCGGAAATCATGCAGCGTTCGATAAAAAAGGGGTAATAATTTCGGACCCAGGAACACATTCCTATTTTCCCCCTAAGGTCTGTTACTATGCCTCAGTTTTACCCAACACAGCATTTTCCAGGAACGTAATCCCCGCGTTCGGCGAGGTTTTTGCTTTGTACTATGTGTAAGGAATATTTGTTTACATCGAGCATCAGATATAGGAAAGACATGATCTGCTGACCTATTTTTCTTTATGTTATCCACAACACTCAAGAATATTTTGTGTTCTGCGCTATATAATCTTTACGTTGAACTAGGATCCATCTTATGAAGACAGGCTCCTTGCCTACAACATAATATAGTTCAGCAGCATTGATGCAACCAAGCCTGACGACTGATGAGAGACGATATGTTGATAACAGTCAAAAGTTTTCTTGCACTGAATCAATGCTGCCGACATCATGCACTCTCAGAACGCCTTTTGTCCAATGAGTTGCTTAATAAATACTTGGCTTTATGTGGATATATTGTTGGATTATCCATTTAGCCATATTATTCTGTAGTTCAATCACAATTCACACAACACCCTCGACACGTGGCAGCCAACATGACTTGAAAGTAATACATCTTGTGTCTTAAATGTGATAACTGCATTGACATTCAAAACGTTGCAAATACATTCAGAATCAGAATATGTATTTTACAACAATCCTTGTATTGAATTCCCTATCATGGAAACTCTTTCTCCAAGTAATTGGGAATACTTCAAGGTGCTGTTGTCATATTCGAGCTCTGAACTTTTGGGAAATTGCCATCTTTTGTCCCACGCTTTGTAGTGCTGCACTGTGGCGTCTGAGTCTGGCACATCTTTCCTCGTGAAACCAGAGTGAAAAGTCAGAACACCATGGACGGCGTGGAAGACGACCCTTGTTGGGCACAACAAAACCTTGGTAGGTGTATCGGCGGAATGGATGGGTGGCACCAGTTTCACAGTTTGCTTAAGTATGTCCGTGCCCCCTAGTTCCATTCCAGGACCCAGGTTCCACGTGTATGTTTCATTAACTGGGAATGTGTGCATCCTAAAGTAGTATGCTGCAACCTTGTCTTCTTCCAGCGCTTCCATCATGTTTGCCCAATTTGACCAATGCCTTGGTAGGATGATCTCATCAATGTCATTCACGGCAAGGTATTTTACTCTATACATGTTCCTGTACAAGCAGTCATTTATTGTAGCCATTTGTCCATAGTAATGAATGTCTCCTGGACTAATTGTTGGAATCCAACCTTTGGATGGGTTGAGGTGATGCTCTATGGGCCACTGCACAATGTCAATAAACCCAGTTTGGGCATAATGCTTGAGCACCTTCTCCATGCTTGGGCTTACACTCGTGTTGTACACGGTAACGACGCCGACTCCGAGAATGCGGTACATTTCCACGCTCTGGATGAACAGAAGGGAGTTGTTGAACTCTCCAAATAAGGTGGGGAGGCATACTCCAAAAGTGTGCTTGTGTGATGAATTACTCGGAGCGTAGACAGGGATGAGGAAATGCTCACCGAGGTGTAATGCCTCATCCACAAGGGTCACGTGACTCGGGGAGGGAAGGTGTTTTGGAGCATCACAAATAAAATTATACACGGTGTACATGAAGCCAAAGTGACTGTTCAGCATTTCCACTTTTGAGGAAATCTGGACAATAGGGGGTAGGCCTCGATAGAACAGTTTACAGGATATGTGGATGTAGCTTTTGTCCCTTGGAGCAAGTGCAAAGACACGGACAAACACGTGGTCCTCAGTGCTGGTGTCAAAATATGCCGAGAAGGCAAGTGCATGGGTGCCTCCCACAAGGTGAAAAACATGATTTCTACCAATGTCCCACGATGGATTTGGTCTCGTATTTAGTGACTTGTTAAACATCTGTAATACTTGTTTTGTGGCAATGAATATGCAGAATACTAAGAGCAATATGAACAAAAATGTGTTTTTCTTGGAGAGCGGAAATGCTGTCGTTCTGTACCATGGAAAACCCATGGTCTTGTAATGAAGTCTCCAGTCAGTAGGATTAACTCTGGCCTGCATTTACAGAAACAGAAATGGACATAGTTAACAAAATTCCGTATTTTGACCACAGACATTACCCCTAAGTGTATGAAATGGACAAGGCTGTATGTTTTAAGTCAGTTTGTCCTCAAGTGCATAAACCTAGTCAATTCATACCCCCATGAGACCCACATAATCAGCCATAATCAGCACGCTGGATGAGGGCCTCTGCAAGCCATTGCCATCTCTTATGGTCTTCAGAATAAACAATCCACCTAGCTCCTGCACACGATTTGAATTCAACTTTCCATCTCCTTTGCAGATATCCTCTCCGGCACGTTCCTTCCCTTGACTATGTCACCGTTTTTATCGTCCAGTGATGTGTCCTGCCCAAGCCCACTCTTTAAACAGTCAAAATTACATCACACACCTGCATATGTCACTCAATGTAATTGAAAGCATGCACCTCTCTTAAATTTAGTTTTTATATTTTTCTGAATCATGTTACAGCAGGTAATATGCATTGGCTACACACAATTGCTTCTTTAGGCACATTAATATGATTTGCAAAAGCACTCAAACTCGTTCTGTTCCACATGTTTATGTCAGCACTTTGATACAAATCTGCCTTAAATAACTGTTCAAGGTACAAAATATCCACGGTGATTTGGGGGACCAATATCGAGGATCCTTGTAAACTGTAGCGTTATCAGCGATTTTACTCCTCTTATCCACTGGGTAAAAATTGACAAATAGGAAAAATTTAGTTCATGGCTCTTATCTGCAAGAATGTGAACAGCAGTAATGTAACATCCATACCACTATAATCCGTGCACTTGCTATGATCATGGGTTTTTTTTTACTTGCAGATAACTGCGGCTATTTGGTGTCATTTGCCGTGCAATTTATCTTATCCACCTAAAACCCGAAAGTATTAGGAAACCACTTCACTATGCATTACAGGTAAAATAGTGGATAACCGCGGATAGAAATAGGGCAGCATTTAATGATTTTCGCAAAGCCTACAGCTTCCACAATAGGGCTGTGGATAACAGTTATCCTGTATACAAATTCTGTTTTGTTTTTGTCTTGACAGACATCTTCAATTGTTTTACACATTTGCTGTGCACGACCTTTGATTAGCTCGTGTGTGTCTTGTTTTGTGAATGACGTGGTAAAAATTGTGTCACCTCATCTGACTCCCCTGTTAATATGAACCTTGGTTATTTATTCATGTCATCTCTGTGAGTTTTAACTTTTCTTCAAATAGAGTGTGGACGGCAATCTTACCAGTTCTTGACGAGGTCTGTTTTACAAGTTCTTTGTTCTCATTTGCATATGTCTGCAATCATCTCATTGTTGTTCATGTTCTGAATGGCATGGAAACCTCTTGAAGCTGGACAACTTGGGGGGGGGGGGGGGGGAGAGATGGCAAAGAGCCTTTCCGGCTTCCTGTAAAATAATGCGGCATTATAACATTACATTGCGTATACATGTATTTAACACCTACCATATGTATTTCTCCACAATAGAGGTTTGTTTTGGGTTAGATCGCGTAAATATATAAATGTGTCGTTAAAACCCGCCACCACCCGACACAGCCAACTAGTAAGGGTTGTCACGTAAACGGAACATGCCAATTCGTCACAAGTACAGCACACCGGTGTGTTGGAGAGCCAAGTCACATTTACAATCTGAGTACGACGTTTCGCCAGTAATTACCACTAGCTTCATCAGGCGACAGCCAGATTTGTAAAGTCTAACTGTTTCGTTCCTCATATAGAGGCGTAGATGTGATGACCACGCTTCTGTGCTCTTGTGCAAAGTGAGGTGGGATTACTGAGTCAACGTCCATGATGCATGTGCATTATGCGAGCCCTTTGATCTTGTCCTTCCTGTCTATTGTGTATTAAAATAAGCCGTACCAACGGTAATCCCTATTGAAGTATGCTGCCCTTTATAGGCATGCATTTAAATAATGTATTATTTTATTATTCGCTTCCACGCAGCACTAAGGCGGTAGCTATCCGAACGGTTAAAATAAAAAAATCAATTTCGATTCTCTAATTAGTCATGGCCAGTAGTAGCTAGTTTTGCACGGATCATCAACATTATCAAAATCCATTGAATATCCTTGTTGGCACGAGTGTTCTGCTACTGACAGTTGTACTACTGGTTATTTTAATACACAATAGACAGGAATGACGAGATCAAAGGGCTCGCATAATGCACATGCATCATGTACGTTGACTCAGTAAACCCCACCCCCCACTTTGCACAAGAGCACAGAAGTGTGGTCACCACATCTACGCCTCGATATGAGGAACGAAACAGTTAGACTTCACAAATCTGGCTGTCGCCTGATGAAGCTGGTTGTTAATTACTGGCAAAACGTCGTACTCAGATTGTAAATGTTGTGGCTTTGTTCTCCAACACACCGGTGTGCTGTACTAGTATACTACACTATACACTACACGATAAACTACACACTAGTGCTGTACTAGTGACAAATTGGCCACGCTCTGTTTACATGACAACCCTTACTAGTTGGCTGTGTCGGGTGGTGGTGGGTTTTAACGACACATTTATATATTTACGCGATCTAACCCAAAAAAAACCTCTATTATGGATATTGGTCGCGAATGCCTACGTGTTAAACCCACATGTATTTAATGTACTAAGTCAATCACAGCAATTACAATCTCATGTCAAATGTTTTATAACAATAAAAAAATCAAGTGTACTGTGCAGTAATCCCTCGCTATTCACGAATTCTGGATTCGCGAGTTTTGGTATAGTATTTGCGAGTTACTAAATGAATGCTAATACTGGTAGGAACCACCTGGTTCCACCAGCCCACAAGGGATTATTGTGTCCGTCCGTCGTGCATCAAAAAATGGGAGGGGTGGGGCTGGGTTGAGAGGGGAGGGTGGGGAGGGGCTGGGTGGGGAGGGTGGGGAGGGGCTGGGTGGGGAGGGTGGGGCTGGGTGGGGAGTGGGAGGGGTGGGGCTGGGTGGGGCTGGGTGGGGAGGGTGGGGAGGGGCTGGGTTGGGAGGGTGGGGAGGGGCTGGGTTGGGAGGGTGGGGAGGGGCTGGGTGGGGAGGGGCTGGATGGGGAGGGTGGGGCTGGGTGGGGTGGGTGGGGCTGGGTGGGGGGTGGGAGGGGTGGGGCTGGGTGGGGAGGGGCTGGGTGGGGAGGGTGGGGAGGGGCTGGGTGAGGAGGGTGGGGCTGAGTGGAGGGTGGGAGGGGTGGGGCTGGGTGGGGAGGGGAGGGTGGGGAGGGGCTGGGTGGGGAGGGGCTGGGTGGAGAGGGTTGGGCTGGGTGGAGGGTGGGAGGGGTGGGGCTGGGTGGGGAGGGGCTGGTCACCCCGTGGTGCCCTTATACAACTCAACGTTTAACCTACTCACGCCGGCTTGTGCCCGCGCTCACAGTCGGGCATATTTGCGGAATACACCACGCCGCCGTTGACCCTGCAGGCCATTGACCGAGCAACCCAACGTTCCTACCAGCTCCCTCCGCAGGAGGAATGTGTTCATCTATTCGCGTATTCACGAGACCAGATCTTTGTCCGCAGTATAATCCCGTGTACCACGAATAGGGGTATACTTACTCCGCTTGCAGATCCTCTGAACTTCGCTATTGTCCACATTAATGTTATACTTGCTTGTTAATTGCCCCCCCTTAATGATAGGTGCCAAAGCGTCCGATGCGTCTGTGACTTGCCTCTCATTCCATCTCCCGAGGAGTCATCCTCCTGAATTCGTCACCATCATCACCAAACTCCGTAGTCGTCAATTCATAATCTCGACGATTACGAAACACGCATTGTTCTTTATAATGTATTGTAGTATAATGAATTGTTATTAAACATTTACCATGTCCCCCGCAGCCCCCCTACTCCTACGTCCACTCGTACCAGGAACGTCATCGCATTGTTTTGTGTTTCCCGTTCAACACGGTTTCTGCATATTCGTGAATTCTGTAATTGGTGACCAGAGATGGTTTTTAACCCGTGGTGTTGTATCACCAGTGAACACTTACCACAAGTGTAGGGGTGGAGCGATGGACAGGCCCATTGTGATGCCAAGAGGCTGATTCTTACGGCTTGAAGAGTTGGATTTTTGTTGTTATAGTATAAAAAAAATATATATGGCAATGAGAATTCCCCGAATGTAAAGGGGTGCAGAGATGTTGCCACCAATTCCATGATTTTTAAATCGATTCCTCGTCCCAACAATTGCGAGACTCGATTCCGATTCTCTTAAATACCCCCTCCAACATTTGTTTTGTTATAACCACCTTTAATATTCCGAGTGTCGTATTTCTAGATGAATAACAGCGTGAACAATTAAAATAATTACGTTACGGGGGAAGGAAAAAAAACGAATTACTGTATATACACACACGTGTAGCATGTCTACATTGGTTATTAACAAATCGCGTTTGACCAACGAAGGCCACTGTAGTTGCAGGCGGCGTGGACGATTTGCTAAGAGTGGGGACAGTTGAAGAGACGGTGGCTTTAAATAAAATAAAAATTTCGATTTAAAGCTTTCGTGACTGCAGGGATTCATCTTCTTGGTTCTTTCGGTAAAGTCACGTAGAAGGGAAATAATAAAATAAAAAAATAAAACAATTAAATTATTCTCACGACGTTTCGGCCACAACGCAAGTAGCCGTTCTACGTGACTTTACCGAAAGAACCAAGAAGAAAAAAAACAAACATGGCTCAACCAATACCGCAGGACCCGAATAAAACCGTAGGACCCGAATAAAAATAAAAATAAATCCACGCGACCATGTGGAGAGAGCGAAAGGGAGTTATTTCTTATCTCGCGAACGCCTGGGCACTGTGGGTTTGATGTCAAACTACCACCGTGTTCTTCTGAGTCTAGATATGTCACGGTCCTGTTGGATGACGTTGAAACTAACGTGTGTGGTGGTGCATGAGTCAGTGTGGCGAGTTCATAGGATGAGTAATGGCCAAGTTGTGGTATTAATGCAAATAAATGCGTGGACAATGTGCCACGAGGTGAGTGCTGGATTCAAGGTTTGCTGGAAAATAAATGAACACTTTATTCACATCAAGACGGGTAGTATTTTTTGGTGCTTCGCCAGTGGACGGAATGGAAGAACGGGAAAATACATTTCAAATATCAGAATTAATAAAAATAAAATAAAACAAAAATCATGACGTTTTATTTTTTATTAATTTTGATGTTTTACCTACGTGACTTTACCGAAAAAACCTAAGAATATGAATCCTTGCAGTCACGAAAGCTTCAAATCTAGAATTTCAAATATCCACAACGGAGATGAATTTCAGCATATACGAGCTTCTCTCCCACAGGCTAATTCAGTCGGGGTTGAGTATTGCATCTTGTCACAGAGTGAGTGATGAGCTACCTGAGAATGTTAACTCGAATACTTTGGGTCAGCGGTTCCCAACCTGTGGTAGTAAGTTAAAAAATGAGAATATAACATCATCACCAAGGAAATGTAGAATTTCAAATGACTAAGTAGCACGTGGTGGTCCGTGAAAAGTTGGGTTGAAAATGGGTTCGTACCCAACAAAAAGATTGAGGACCGCTGCTTGAGGCTACCTACATTGAAAAGGTAACAAAATATTAAAATAATAACCACAATTAACACAGAAATAACTTAAACTCAACAATGAATCGCAACACCTATTTTTTTTATATACCTAACCAATACACACGGTAACTATTTTGGCACTGACCACCGCACAGTCTCCAACTACATATTGCAGGACGTTAAAAGAGAGTCATTTTGACCTCATGACTTAATTAGTCATGTTTGTATCTGAATAAACACCAATCGTGTCATTTCAATTCCAGGTTTGGGAACCCATTGTGCGGTTGGTAGTCGACATTTCGTATGAAGGTTAGAATCAATTTCGAAAATTAACATCCACGGAATAGATTTATCTTGGATCGACTCCCCATCCCTACTTGGTGCTCAAGAGCGTTTTTCTATTGTCCGTCAACTAAATTATAAGAGCCTTTTAGAAGACCTGAATCAACAAATTATAGAAAGTGGACCCCCCCCCAGATGTGGGGATAAAAGTTGATCCAGGGGATAAAAAGCTGATCCAACAGGTTTCCAAAAATTGTCAAACCCCCAAAAATAAATGATCCTTTGTCGGCACACACCCTACATACAATCAAGTTCAGACATAATAATTGTTCAGACATGTTTCAGTCTGACTGCTCTGTTTTGTTTGGTCTGGACTGGTGATAAACAGGAGTTGCTCTTTTTGAACAGCACTGAGAAATCAGTACTAGCGAGTTAAATACCTCCACATAAATTTCCATTCGTTTACATTTTCTCTTTGCGGCCATCGAAATTCTAATCTGATAACCCCCCCCCCCCTCCCAGTAGACCAGGGCGCATCGCAACAGGAGCTGACGATGTGCAGAGCTGCTGAGCTTGAGGTGTGTGGGGCACTGTCAAAGACTGTTTCAAGATCTGACTGGCTGGCAGTGGATGGTCCCGACGTCTAAAACAAAAACAATGTGAAACGTTCGGCGAACTTTGAGGAAGAGCTAAAACTTCACAGCTCTCCCTGGTCGAGGCACCGGTCAGTGGCAACTGGTCCCCCCCAATTACCACAAAGTTACCACGCATCAACTTAATTTGGAGCTTTCGTGACTGCAGGAATTACTCTTTGGTTCTTTTGGTAAAGTCACGTCTGTGTGCTTATGTTTGTTCTCTCTCTATGTATCTCTGTGATATCTGTCTGCTTATATGTCTGTCTATATGTCTCTGGTTCTGTGTTTTGTCTCTCTCTCAAATTTAGCATTCTCAGGAAGAACGTAATCAACCAGGTAGGGTGTTGACTGTTATGTTATCCGACTCTCTGTTGTATTACATTACATTTCTAAGTATACTAGCTTGGTGTTTCTATTTCTATTTCATTTATACCTGATGATGATTGCTTGTGTTGCAATCGAAACGTCGTATGCTAGTATTTAATTTATTAATTTATCTTTATACGTGACTTTACCACGCAAACCCACACACAAAGACCCCCCCGTATAGCCTCAACAGATTGTTGGGGCGTGGAACACGTGTGGGTGGGTGGCCGCCTTTGTCTTCTCAGTGGCGAGGTTTTTACACACCCCACCAAGTACTAATTTGAGGCTGGCTCGACCTAGGGGTGGCCCTGTACCGGTTTTGGATAATCGTCACCGCTGGTGTTGGTGGCCGTGAGCCGGAATCGAACTCGGGTGGCCGGGTTCGTAGCGCAGCGCGCTAGCCGCTACCCCACCGCGCTAGCCGCTACCCCACCGCTCCCCACTCACACAGCCCCCACCCCCCAAAGACAAAGATCCCCCGTGTAGCCTGCCACTGACTGTTGAGGCAAGTGCTGTTAGCAAGCAACACCTATGCAGGCCGGCACAGGAGAGGAGGTGTGGGTGGCCAACACCACGCCCGGCCGCCTTTGCCTCCCCCGGTGGCGACGTTTACTACACACCGCTACACCGGGTACTCATTCGATGCTGAGTCGACCTAGGGGAGGCCCACGAACGGTTCAGATTGATCGTCACCGCTGGTGTTGGTGGCCGTGAGCGGGAATCGAACTCGGGTGGCCGGGTTCGTAGCGCAGCGGCGCTAACCGCTGCACCACCGCTCCCCACTCATTCCACGCCACCCTGATTCCCTTAGGGATGTGAACTCGGGTCGTAGCGGCGAAGAAAACACATCGGGCCTTCAGCTGATGTTGTACAAGAACGGGAAGGCATTTGGTGGTGCGAAAGGAAAGATTTTTTTAAGAGCGGCCAATGAATCGTACCCGGAGACACCGGGCAGCGAACACCTTGGAGGAGGAGGAAGATCGCATTCCACTCGTGTGCCGCAAAAAAAAAATCCGTCGTCACCTTTGTCGTTGTCGAGAAGTCTAATCATTGATACAGTACAGGAAACATTGGGAATTAGCTCGCCGTCCCGCAGAGTGGATCGTGAATAATTTAACGCGGCGTGCACATTAGCAAGCCCTGAAAATCATTACAACAAGAACGCCGATGCCATCAAGGGGCACGCGTGCCCCTGTGAACAGCAGACTCGCACGAACTTCGAACAAGGCATTTGTAAAACGACGCGCCTTCACGAATATCCACGCCGCAAGCTATCGGAAGCACAAACTCAACGTCGTCGCTACAAGTTGTGCGCAATTCGCAAGACACGGATGGAGTTCTGCCAACGCGCGTGTTGAAACAGCGGTGGGGCAGGGCAGGGGGTGGAGATACAGCGTATTAAAGCGATACACACGCGCGTATTAAATCATTGTCCGATGACAGCATCACAAACTCCGTACACACACTATGAGACATCTCCTTTACCAGTGGCAAAATATAGTAATAGGTTTTTACCCTTTCAACTGGTACAAAAAACTGACACCTTTATACACACACAGAGAGAGAGACGGAGTACTTACATGTTTATGCCACCGTCACACTGTGGGTCAATTGTAACAACACGAGGCGGAAATGTTGTGACCGTACGTCGATTAACGATCAGCGCGGACGGATATGTCGTCGTCTTAATTTGCTGCCATCAATGTCGTGGGGCGACATGTCCCCGTTGCTAATACAAAACACCAAACCTGATGTGGAAATAGATAAGATACTGCGTGGCAAGGAGAAGTGGGTTTCTTGCAAGGCTGGTGGGAACTGCTTGTGGGCAGCAACGCATCCGCTTATTTCGCCATGAATTCAGCACAGGGTTGGCTATGTGCTAAAGTGGTTTAACATACGCACACCGTGTCTACCCCATACGGTGCACCCCGTATTGTTGTACAGGGGAATTGAGATTTCGCGTCCATACGGCGTGGGGCCGTTTCAATAGGGGCAAAAAACGTCGATTTAAAGCTTTCGTGACTGCAGGGATTCATCTTCTTGGTTCTTTCGGTAAAGTCACGTAGAATGGAAATAATAAAATAATTATAATAAAACATTATAAAATAATTATCACGACGTTTCGGCCACAACGCAAGCAGCCGTCCTCAGGTGAAGAACATGTCTGTCGAGAAGACAGTCTGAATTATTATGTTTTATTTTTATTATTTTATTATTTCCATTCTACGTGACTTTACCGAAAGAACCAAGAAGGCAAAAAAAGTGTCTATTTGTTTGTGTTTCTCTGCTTGTGATGGAACTTTGTAGGATGAACGTTGAGATCTATAAGGGCACGGGGTGACCAATAAGGTCTGAATTGGTCTGTGATAAGGTAGGACACTGATAAGGGGTTCACAGGTATGCATACGAAACGTGATGCAGTTGTAATGGGTTTTTTTTAAAGAGTAGAATGCCTCCTCGCACGTTTGATTTCAACCAAATCAGAATCTGTGACTTCGTTTCATTAACGTTTAACCAGAACGCTCGTGCAATTATAAACGATCCCGAGCGTATAAAGGGCATCAAGAAAAACGCATTTGAAAGTAACATTTGTGGACATTAACACAGATTTCATAATTATTTACATTTGTGAGGAAATGTGTTTATGTTGGCACTGAAATGGTCCACCCCCCCCCCCCCCCCCCAACA